GGTGGGGACAGAGGGATAACAGGGGAACGTGTCTCACCCGCAGCGCCTGTCCTTCAGGAGTGGTGAAGACCTGTGGTCCGTCCTCACCCGGCGTCCCACTCTCATCCTTTTGGCTGTTCTGCCGCTCCTGCACCCCCAGCAGGGAGGTGACACCCACATCCCCAAACAGGGACATCCCTCATTCCCCTAAATCCCCCTCCCTCCCCTTCCCCTGAGCTCACCAGCACCACAGGATAGATGGCGGAGGGGGGCAGGATGTGATCCCTCAGCAGCCCACAGTCACAAGTGGGGGGCACAGCAGGCTTGCAATCCTCGTGGATCTGGGGGGCAGAGACCACGTCCAGCCACCCCATCCCTTGGGGATGGATGGAGGAGACGGGGACCCCCCTGTGACACCAACCAGCATCACGGGGGGCCCCTCCACCCATCCCCACCTTGAGGTGACACCAGACGCAGTGCAGCCCCGTCAGGCTCTGGAAGCTCTTGATTTTCTTCTGGCATTTGCCACACTTGCTGGCCTCGCAGCCACCTTTCACCCAGACGTGGACTTGGACCTGCGTGGGCAGTCATGGTGGGAGGCGGTGGGACAGACGGACGGAGGGACGGACAGACAGGAGGAGGAATGGGTGGGCAGGCGGACGGAGGGACAACCAGGTGGGCAGACAGCTGCACAGCTTGACAAAAGAGACAGATGGACAAACGGACAGATGGGCGGGCAAAGAGATGAGCGGACGGATGGACCGCAGGTGGAGCCACGGACAAACGGACCGGCAAATGGAGCAGGCAGGTGGACAGACGGACGGACAAATGGATGGACAGATGGACGGACAGCCGGGGCACTCACACCGGCCTCCTTGCGGGACTTGGCGTAGGTGCTGATGCAGCTGGGGGGGGCCTTGCGGGCGCAGCGCTCGTGAACCGTGAACTTGCAGACTGGGGGGGCACAGCCGTGAGGGGGCGGGGCTTGGCCCCCTGCTCCCACCCCCAAGCTGCCCCTCAGCCAATCACAGCACGGCCCCCCCTCCGCCCCAGGAACCAATGGCAGCCCGGTGTTTCCCAGGTGGGTGGGGTTTCTGTAGTAGCCACGCCCATTTCGGGGCGGGGCTTTCCCAGCTGGAGGGGGCGGGGCTTCCTGCAACACGTGGGGCGGGGCTTCTTCCCACCGCATCCCCATCCCATCCCCCCCCTGTGCCCCCTCCCCACCCAACGCAGGGACACCACCCCATCCTTGCCCCTGTCCTCACCCCTGCGCCCACCCGTCCTCATCCCTCATCTTCCAGCCTCACCCCATCGCTGTCCTCCTCCCCACCCCACCTCTCCCCGTCCCCGCTGCATCCTCATCCCATATCGTCCCCCTCCTGTCCCCATCCCTGCCCCACTCACAGGTGCAGCACAGCCCCTGTTTGCGCAGCCCGACCAGCAGCGTCTCGCACACATTGCAGTAGGCAGGACGGTTGAAGTGCTTCAGGCGCCACATGTGCTGCCCATCATCCTTCATGTGCTGAGAGGGTGGGAGGATGGGGGGTCAGGACACAACTCCGGGGGGGTCCCAGCACGGCGCACCCCCCGCACTCACCACCTCCAGGCCCAGCAGCACCAGCAGGGGGATGTTGGTTACACCGCCGCGCAGCCACTCCGCCAACGACACCGCACCACTGCCGTCATAGTCAATCTCCCGCATCATCTCCTGCAGGATCTGGGGGGACGCGGGGCTCAGCGGGTCTGGGGGGGGCACACGTGGGGAGGGAAGCGGGGCCACTCACTGGCTTCAGCTCTGTGACGTCCCAGTCCAGGTATTGGGCCACCCGCATCATCTGGGTGATGATCCGCTCCACCTCCTGCAGCACGGCGGTGGCGAGGATGAAGGTGGGGGTGATGACGGGGGTCCCAGATGCCCCCCCCAGCCCTGTCCCCTCACCGAGCTGTCCAGGAGCCCGTTCCCATCCTTGTCGTACAGCTTAAATGTGACTGGGGGGGGAAGGAGGGGCACAGCAGAGTCAGATGGCGGTGCTCCCCCCGGCCTCCCTTGTGCCACAGGACCCCCACTCACACTCCAGCTTGTCCTCGGGGCGCCCGCCCTCCAGCAGTGAGAAGTAGCAGGAGACATCATTAACGCAGACAAGGTCAGCATCTGTGGGATGGACAAAGCTGAGCCCCCCCGTGTCTTAACCCATCCCCCCCCCCCAGTTTCCCAGTCCCCCCCAGGTCCTCACCGGCGCCCGGCTGCCCCGTGCTCTGGAAGGACCTGAAGAGGTGACGGCACAGCGTGTCTGGGACATCATCTGCCTCCAGGTAGCTCCTCAGGAACAGCTTGAAGCCCTCGAAGTCCACGCACTGGGGGGGGCAGAGAGGGGCTGGAGGTGAGTGTGCGGGCGGGGGGGTCAGCAGGCAGCCCCTGGGGTGTGTGTGTGTGGGGGGGGGCTCACCTCTCCCTGAAGGTGCTGGGACAGCACCCCGTCACCATAGAACTCCTGCAGCACATCCTGCACCTTCCTGCTGCTGTCTGCGGGCACAGGCGTGTGCAAGGATGCTCGGGGAGTTCACACACAGGCAAGGGGCATGCACACGCATGCCATGCATGCACGCACACGTGTGTGCAAGGCACACCCACGGGTATGCACACGTATCCCTTGCACGCCCATCTCTCCATCGCGGTGCACACGTGTGCGTGGCCACCCCACGCATGTAAAACCACGGCCACACACACACACAAAGCCACACATAAAGTGCAGCCACACCCGTGCACACACACACACACGAGCTGCTTCCCCCTCCTTCCCCCCCCAACTCACAATCCAGGTACTTCTGGAGCTGGGCGAACTCCTCGGGGCTGAGCGTTCCCCACTCCGCGCTCTCCTCCATTGCGCTGCCTGCAGGCGGAGGGCGGCGGTGGGGGCACGGCGGGGGTCTCCCCGCGTTCTCCCCGCCCCGTTTGCCCCAGCACAGCCCCCAGCACAGCCCCACCCCCCCCCGAGGCCGGGCGGGCAGCAGCTCGCTCGCACACGCACAGGTCGGCGCCCGCCCGGGGCTGCTCGCATCCTGCTGCCACGCATCCGGCTGCCACCCACGCACCCCGCGGGGATGCGGTTCCCTCCCGGCCCCGCGATGAGGCAGGCAGTGCCGGCCCCGAGGGCGAGGGCTGAGCTTTGCTCCCTGCGTGGCACCGGGCGGCAGATGCTGAGCGCGGCCCGGGAGCGGCACCGGGCGGAGGTTGTGGGGGAGGGGGGACGGGGGAAACGGAGCCGCAGCCGCAATCCCCCGGGACCCCAAATGTGACCCAAAGGGGAAGAGGACAATGTGTGCGCGTCCCTCCTGCCGCCTCCCGGAGCACCCATGGGTGATCCCAGCACCACTCCCACCCCCTTCTCCCTCCGCACCGGGGCTGCGTCAGGAACCCGCGCTGGGGGAACCGAGCCGTAGCACGACGCCGGCCCCCCCGGGGGCCCCGAGGTCGGGCACGGCCCCCAGGACCCCCCCGGAGCGGCGGCTGGTTCCCTTATTTAGTAACGGGCAGGGAACGGGAACCGTGAGGAGGGGGGGGCAGCACCCACGCACGGCCCCTCTCCGCTCCCGGGACCCCCGGGCTGCGCTCTCTCCCTCGAGGACCCCGGCGCGAGGCGGCTGCCGTCGGATACGAGGCATCGGGGCCGCCTCCCGCCGGTGCCGGTGTCAGCGCAGCCCGAGGCGGCTCCGGGACGCGCAGGTGGGAGCGGCGGAGCCCGGCGGAGGGGCGGGCGGGGCCGGGCCCTTCGCCTTCCCCGTTTTCCTCCTCTCGCCGCGCCCCGGGAACGAGGAGGCGGCGGAGGGACGGGACGGGAGCGGAGCTCGGAACTCACCGCGCTGAGCACCGGGAGGGGAGCGGGACCGGGAACGGGCGGCGGCACCGAAACGACGCCCCACGGTGCAGCCCGGGCCGTGCCCCGCCGGCGCCGCTTCCCTCCCGTTTCCCGCTCGGTGCCGTCGATTCAGCCCAGCCCGATGCGCTCCGCTCCGATCGGACCGAGCCCCGCACTGCCCGCTTCAGTTCGGTCCGGTTCGATTCCTTCCGACGCAGCCAATCCCGGTGCGGCTCATCCCGGTAGCACCGGTCTCGCCTCGCCCCGCCCCCTCCCACCCGGCGCCGTCCCGCCACACCCCCGGTGCCCGCCGGTACCTGCGGGGCTCCGCTCGGTGCCGCCGCTCGGTCCGGCCCGGTGCCCGCGCGCTGCCGCCGCCGCCGCCCAGCCCCTCTGACATCACGGCTCGGGGCGGCACCGGGAGCACGTGCGGCGGGGGGGCACAGCGCCGGGGCGGGGTCCGCTCCCCTCCGCTCCCCGCCGGGCTCGCACCTGCCCGCGCTCACGGTGCCGCTTCCGTTGTACCTTGAAGCGGCCGGGGGGCCCGCAGGGGGGCTGGGACCGGAGGGGGGGCAGAGGGGAGCGGGAAGGGGTGGGAGGGGGCACGCGTGGAAATCCCCGCGGCGATCGCAGCGCGGGGCCGGGCCGCATCCGGACTGCCCCGGGGGGTGCGGGGGGGGAAGGAAGGGCAGTTTGTTCCCCTCCCCCCAGTGAACCGCGTGGTTCTGCGCTGCGGGGAGCCCCGACCCCTCCCTGTTCCCCGACGTGACACCGAGGCGGGGCGGGACCGGCCCCGAAGGCTCGGTTGAGGCGGGTTATCGCCCGGTTCGCCCCCGTCCCGCAGCGCGGGCACGCTGTAGCCCGGCGTCACCGCAGCAGCCCCGCGCCCAGCGACTCCACGCAAAACGGGGCGCTGCGCCTTTAAAAACAAAATGGCCGCCGCCACTCGCGAATCTCCCCAATCCTCTGTCGGAACGCCGCGCCGCCACTTCCGGGGGCGGGGCGTGGGGGCCGGAAGTGTATCGCGCACGCAAGATGGCGACTCCCTATGTGACTGATGAGACCGGTGAGCGCGCCGCGGTGCGGGCCCGCCGCTGCGGGGCGGGGACGGGCGGCTCCGGCGCTGCGGGGCGGGGATCTGCAGGGCGCGGTGAGGCCGAGGCCGCGCCTGGGGGCGGCGGGGCGGCTGCGCTCCGCGGGGTGAGCTCCGTCCCTTCTCTCCGTGGGCTCGGTTCCGTTCTGCCTTTTCCCTGCGGCCTGCGCCCAGCCCAGCTCTGCGTGGCATCTCCCACAGCGCACCGTGGGGTCGGATCTCCCCCCTGCATTATCTGTGGGGTCGGATCTCCCCTCTGCGTTCTCTGTAGGGTCAGATCTCCTTCCTGTGTTTTCTATGGGGTCGGATCTTCACCCTGATTTCTTTACGGGGCGGTATCTCCCCCCACGCACGTTCTGTATGGGGTCACATCAACCCCCCCGTGCTCTCTGTGGGGTCACATCTCCCGTGTTTATTCCCATCCTCCCGTGTCCCAGCAGGGCTGGTCGCTTCTCTTCCCCCCAGAACGGTACCAGGTGTCGGGCAGCCCCCAGCCCCAGCAGAGGAGCAGCCCCTCGTGCCCCCCACCCAACGTTGCTTTCTCCCCCATAGGGAAGTACATCGCCTCTACGCAGCGCCCTGACGGCACCTGGCGGAAGCAGCGGCGCGTGAAGGAGGGCTACGTGCCACAGGAGGAGGTGCCGGTGTAAGTGGGGCAGGCGGCCAGGTGTGGGGTCCTGGGGTGGAGCCCCATTGCTGGCAGCAGGGCGATGGCGTTGGTGTGCCCAGGATCCCAAACTGTGGGCACTTTTTGTGCCCGTTACCTGCACCACGTTGGGGCTGTGGGGTGCGTGGCAAGGCTGGGAGCCCCCAGTGTGTCTAAACCAGGTCATGTCTTGAGGTCTCAGTCTCTTTCCAGGTGCCTGAGCACTTCTGACCCCCTTAGCCCATAAGCTGAGTCCTGATGGTACGTATCTGGCTGCTCCTCTGCGCAGGGCTGGGCTGAGCCACGGCCATGAGGACATCCTGAGGAGCTCAGGGCAGTGCTGGAGCTGAGCACTGGGTCAGGGCTGTGCTGTGCTGATGGCGAGGCTGGAGGTGGTGAGGTTTGCAGCTCCACGGGGGCAGCAGCGCTGTCACTGCATCTCCTCCCATGCAGGTATGAGAACAAATACGTGAAGTTCTTCAAAAGCAAGCCTGAGCTGCCCCCGGGGCTGAGCCTGGAGCCCAACGCCCAGCCCAGCAAGCAGCCCAGCAAAGCGGAGGGCGGGGAGACTGGACTGTCCAAAACAGCAAAAAGGAACTTGAAACGCAAGGAGAAGAGGAAGCAGCAGCAGGAGAAAGGAGAGAGGGAAACAGACGAACTGATCCAATCGCTGGAGAAGGTCTCCTTGTCGGGGGGCAGCGGCGGGGACACGAGAGCGGCCGCACCGCAGCCGGCCTGCAGCACCCAGAGCTCTGCTGACGGGGAAGCTGCAGCCTCAGAGAAAAGCAAGAAGATCAAGAACCTGAAGAAGAAGCTGCGGCAGGTGGAGGAGCTGCAGCAGCGGCTCGACTCTGGGGAAATAAAGCAGCCGACCAAGGAGCAGCTGGAGAAGCTGGGCCGGAGGAAAGCCCTGGAGGAGGAGCTGCAGGACCTGGAGCTGGACTTGTGAGGGGTGGGCTGTTGTGGGGCGCGTGGGGCTGGCGTCCCCAGCGCAGGCTGTCTGGACTGAGCGCTGGCCCCTCTTCCCCGGGGTTTTATTTTGGGTGGGTGCCGTCGTTTTTCTTTTTCCACAACAGTTGTTTTTTTGTTTGTTTGTTTGTTTTTTTCCCAGCTATCGGTGTTAGAAAGTCGGCAACTCTCAGATACCTCTCTCCTTTTTAAAGTTTATTTGGGGGAGCCGGGCGGGCAGGGCTGGTGCTGCGGGTGAGGCAGGGGCAGCAGCCTTCCTTGACTTCTTCCCCAGCCCCTCGCATTCTGTGTTACGGCCTGTCGTCCTCTTCCTTTTATTTTTAAAAATGCAATAATAAAATTGCAGTAGTGACCCCGTGGCATGAGCTCAGCTCTGCCTTTCCCTGCTGAGGACAGTGCTGGGATCCTCCCACAGTTCCCAACCCCCTCAGCCCGCCCAGCTGCAGCCATGCCAACACCAGTGTCACTGTTGGGGCCGTGTGCGGGACACAGCTGCCTTTGTCCCATGAGGCAGTGCTGGAGTGTTGGCCCCCTCTTGTGCCCCATTTTCTGGGTGGCCCCATGCTCTGGCTTGGCACCAGCCCACGTCCTGCAGCCCATCGGGAGGAACAGCGTATGGAACAGTGCTTGTTCTGCCCCAACTCTGCACTGGGCTCTGCTGGGGGATGGGGCCATGTTTGGGTTTTCATCCTGCGTGGGGCTGAGCAGGGAGTGCTGTTGGTTGGTCCCGGGATTGAGGAGGTGGTGGATCCTGCGTGGGGATGGAGCTTGGCAGTTTGAGATGGGAGTGATTATGTCCATGAGGGGACTGGGGGATTCTGGGGGGTTGCTGGAGCGTGAAGGAGGAGGTGTGGGGGGTCTAGGGAGCTCAGGGGTCATAGATGGGGTTGTTGGTGGTTTGGGGGATGCAGGAACGGTGGTCAGTGGAGCTGGGGCCTCGTGGCAGCAGGAATGGAGGTATAATGGGTTTGGGAGTCAGAGTGAGGAGCTAGGGGCAGCTGGAGGCGTTCAGAACATTATAGCTCAGGTACTGAGCCAGCAGTGCGTGCACAGCATTTGGGTAGGTCCTACAAAAATAACTCTGGGGTGTTATTTTCTATGAAGTCTTTTCTTGCACTGGAGGGAGAGTGGAGCTGAACCTCTCTGGAGCTGACAGGGAGCAGGGGTTGCAGTGGATGTGGACCTGGCTGTGGGGCAGGAGCCCCCATTTACCCCATGAGGATCCCCTGTTATTTGCCTACTTAAAAGGGCAGGCATGGTGGGGGGACAGCAACCCAAGGCACAGCAGGTGTGGGGCACAGGGGCCTCTCAGAGGTGGCCTCGAGGCACTGGGGTGACGAAGGACACAGCGGAGCCATGGCCATCGCTGGGGGTCCCAGCAGGGTCTGGGGGGGCTGCACTCTCCAGATGCAGGTCCCACAAGCTCTGGATCTAGCTCTGGGGGTGGAAAGGGGTGTCAGCGGTGGTGGTGGGGCACCCCCTGCTCCCCCAGCACACACTCACCAAGGCCAACGTGTTTCACAAGCAGTGTGTCACTGGGGCAGGCTGGTGGCGGTGGCTGCACCTGGGGGGGGTTCGGTTCTGCTGGCATTTGGCTTCCTGCTGATGGAGATACAGCAGCTGCAGTCATTTCTGGCACCAGCTGAGGATCACTGCAGGGAGGGGGCTCAGCACCGGCCCCTTCCATCACCCCCATCCCCATGGCCATTTCCTCGGTCCCTATGGCCGTCCCCATTGCCATCTCCACCTCCCTCATCATTTCCATCACCCTCTGTGTCCCCTTCCCCACCCCTGCTGCCCCATGCTCATCACGCGCACCCTATGATAGTTCCCATTCAATCCCCATCCCAGTTCACTCCCCACCCTATCACATTCCAGCTTCCATCCCCATGCCTATTCCTATTTCCATCTCAACCCATCCAAGCCTCCACTCCGATGGCCACCCCCATTCCCATCCCATCCCCACAGCCATTCTCATCCCATTCCCATCCCATCCCCACAGCCATTACCATCCCATTCCCATCCCATCCCCATGGCCATCCCAATCCCATCTCCCCCATCTCCATCCCATCCCTATGACCATTCCATCCCATCCTATCCCTATCCCCACACCCATCCCATCCCATGACTATCCCTAACCCCATCCCACTCCCGTTCCCATCTCCTCCCCATTGCCGTTCCCACCCCAACCCCCCCCACCCCCTCCCCACTCCCCTCACCGTTGCTGCAGCAGGACACCAAGCAGGCTGAGCGCCGGCCAAACCCCCAGCACGACCCAGCTGTACCAGCAGAGCTGCCCCACCGCCGCCATCCGCAGCCTCTCGGAGACGTGGAGCAGCAAAGCAAACACCTCCACGAAATAATCCACACACACCACCACCACGGCAGCGCCGAGGACGGCGGTGGCCAACGTGGTCAGCGCTTTGGGCCACCGCAGGGCCAGCAGGGCGCAGAGCAACGCCGGGCCCAGCAGGACTCCCACCAGCACCCACGGGCTCAGCGGTGGCACCAGCGGTGCAGCAGCTGCCAGCACGGCCGTGGCCAGCAGCAGCCCCAGCAGCAGCCCGGTGGAGAAGAGCCCGACGCTGCGCAGCAGAGCGGTGACCAACCCGCAGAGCGAGCCGATGGCCAACGCAATGCCTGCGCTCACCTCCAGGCTCAGCCGCGTCTCCAACACGCGCTCCTTGTAGCACAGCAGGAAGATGGTGCTGGAGCCCAGGAGCAGCCCCGAGGTGAACATGATGGCCTTGAAGCAGCGATGGCCTGCGGGGGATGTGGGGCTCAGTGGGGGCTGCGCCGTGGTGTCCCCGGTGCCACCCCCAGCTGTGCCCAGTGTCCTGTCCCCATTGCCAAATGTGTTCTGTGGAAACATCCCATAGTGTCCCCCCACACCACCCCCTATCCACACTCCTGGATGCACACTCTCCTGTCCCAATTTTGTCCCATAGTGTCCCCGTGCCACCCCCCAAGGACACATCCCATCGTGTCCCCAGTGTGTCCCATAATGTCCCCCCATGCCATCCCCTGTCCGTGCCCCACGGACGCACATTGTCCTGTCTCCAGCACGTCCCACAGTCTCTCCCTGCAATCTCCTCCCCCGACCCCCGGCGGTGCCCCCCCCGCGCTGTGCCACCCCCACCCCTCACCGACGCAGCCATAGAGAAGGCCGAGGACGCAGCCGAGGGCGCAGAGGACCGCCGGACCGGGCTCATAGTGCAGCCATGGCTCCAGGCGGCAACGCGGCTCCGCGGGGGCTCCGGCCTCCATCCCGGGCCGGGGAGGGGGGTGGGCGGGGGGGAAGCTGTGCTGGGGGCGGTGGAAGCGCCCAGAGGGAGCCCCGCTCCACTCCCCCCCATTCGCGCATCTGGCGGCGGGGCCACATCTGGGGCGGGGAATCGGAGGAGGGCGGGAGGGGCCGGGGGGAACCGGGGGCTCTGAGAACATCGGGAGCAGGGGGAGGGGGGTCGGGAGGGGTGAACTGTGGAGCCACCGCGGCTGCAGAGCGGACACCATTGCTGGGGACACAGAGCGGGGAACCATAGGATGCGTTTGGGGGGAGAAGGGGGGTCTTCCGGGACACACTCGTGTACCTTGGGACACCCCAGAGCACTCCCGAAGGTCCTCCTTGCGACCCCCTTCCCCCCCCCAGGGGTCCCCCGAGGTCCCCACCGGCACCCAGGACCCCCGCCCGCTCCCGGAGCTCCGCACGTGTCCCGAAGGAGCCGCGGACCCCCGGCACCACCCGGACCCGCGGGCACCGCTATGCTGCCCCCTGCTGGCCGAGCGGAGGCACCGCACGACCAACGCGGCGCCACTACTCCGCGCCGTTGTGCGCATGCGTGAAGCCCTCAGGAGGACCTAGAGCAACAGAGATGGGGGCGGACTGGCGGCGCAGAGCGGCAACGGCACAGGGACGGCACTTCCGGGTTTCGGCGCGAAACTGTGCCGCGTCTCGAAGATGAAAACCACAGACGCGACCGGACCGGGGTACAGAGCGGTCCGCGATCCCGTGCGCGTGAACAGCGTAACCGAACGGACGGATTCCCACAGAGATCCAGGACCCCCAACCCCAGCGCAGCCCACGAACAACAAAACAGAGCCAAACCTGTGAACATTGCAGCTTTATTGAGCCTCACAGCGCAGCAGCCCAGGAAGGCACTCATTGCACCCAACCACTACTCCTCCCCGTCCTCCTCCCCCTCCACGCTGTCGGCCCCCACCTCCTCATAATCCTTCTCCAGGGCAGCCATGTCCTCCCGCGCCTCCGAGAACTCGCCCTCCTCC